CTTTCTTTCTTTCTTTCTTTCTTTCTTTCTCTCTCTTTCTCTTTCTCTCTCTTTCTTTCTTTCTTTCTTTCTTTCTTTCTTTCTTTCTATTTTTTTCTGTTTTTAGGAATTAGAGAGACTTACCTTTCTCTTCAGTGAAGGAATATGCAGTATCATGAGTTCTTTTTACTGTGGTTAGTAAGACACATCTACATTTGAAGGAAAACTCTAGCAACTTGTTTAACAAATTGTTGCTATATTTATTTGCCTTATCACTTCTTTTGGATTTCATATGCTAGTTTTCTTTTACTGATGTGATTATATATGGCATTTGTTGAAAACTGCCTGTATTTTTGAGGAGGTATAAGAATTTGCAAAATACTCTGTTAATATCAAGCTATATGGCACAGAAAAGGATTCACATAAGTTTGTTCTTGATGTTTTTGTTTTGGTTAAGTACATAGTCCTATTCTTATTCTCACGTTTACTGTAAGCACTAAGTTAGCAAAAGTTTATCTTTTAAACTGGATATCTTTTTTTCCTTATTAAGAAAATAATCAGTTTTGCTAAAAACTTCCAATACAGTTATAATGATTTTACTGGTTTCAGATTTGTTTAGATAACAAAGCATCTTTAAAATATATTTTTAAATTTCTGTGTATTACACAGTAAGTTTAAGATATTATAGAAATGCAAACCTTTTGACTGTTAAACTACTAACCAAATAAAAATATATTCAAATGTTGTAATTAAATAAATTCAAACAAACAAAAAGTGAATACATTCTTTTAAGAATTTGAGAGGCTCAGTACTAATGTAGTTTTAAAGCTGAGGCAGGTTGGAAGAATTGAGTGCTTAGGATAGCTAAGGTATTTATTAGATTATACTTGATATAGTTCAATAATAGATCAAGGTGCCTACTGAGTAGTAAGACACTGCTTTTAAGATAAGCATCAATTTGTGCTTTTTTTATTTCTATGAAAAACATTTTCATCTCAGAGTAATAAATTGATAGCAGTAGTGCTGAATGACTCTTTTTGCATCCAATAATTGCAAACTAAGAAATTATACTCATGCAACACAGTTTGTATTGCTGACTGCCTTAGAATTTCATTGAAAAAATATAGAAAACTTTCTAACGGGTTATAGTCTCTACTGACCACTAGAGGGCAGCACAGAGTTATTAATGGTCTAGTGATAGCCTATAAAACAACCAGAACAGAGAAAAGTGTAGAATAATTTTCCAGTACTTATATTTATTTTTTAATATTTCCTCAAGATGGAAAGCTATATGCATATTTGGTCTGCAAATACAAAGTGGATGCAATTTTATTTTAAAATAATGATAATACCTTTGTCTTAAATACTGTTTTAGGCATGTTGGTAAATCTCTACTCTGTAGAACATTTCTCCTTAGTGGGTATATTCATAGAAGAAGTCCATGGTTAGCCATGCTCTGCACAGATATCTTCCTTCGAGCAAATATGAGACTCCAGTATTGGTTCAGTACGACCAACATACCGTGTTTCTCTGAAAAACAGACCTAGAATCCATGGACACAGTTTTCCAGTTCAAATAGGAAAAAAGTTTATTATAATTCCAAGAGCAGGAGGTGGCGTACAGATTGATAACAAATATACCAGAAAGCAAGTTAAAGAAATGAGAGCTCATGTGATCCCATCAGCTTTGCCCTGTCTGTCCGGAGTCCTCAGTGTTCAGTCTTAAGACCTTTGCTGGCCGACACACTCTTGAGCGTCATGCACAACAATCTAATTTTGTGATCAAAGTTTTGACTTGAATTTCTTTTTTTTTTTTCCCCTTTTTTGTGACAGGGTCTTGCTATATAGCTCAGGCTGGCCTTGAACTCATGGCGGTCCTCCTGCCTCAGCCTCCCAAGTGTGGGGCTTACAGGCATGTGCCACCACGCCCAGCTGACTGGGATTTCTTAAAGCCAACTCAAAATCTGTGACACTTCTGAGCGGGAATCTGTGATTTTCACCTCCCATCTTCCTCTTCTCAGTCAGGGCCCCTTCTAGTGATGAGTGGCACCTTCCACTAGCACAGTCAGAAAATCTGCCGGCTTCCTACGTACTTCCTCCTTCACACCAACCATGCCCAATTCATTAGCCCACCCTGTGGACTCTTTAATGTCTGTTTAGCCTGCCAGTCTTGCTGGTTTCCACTCTTACCACCACAGCTTAAACGAGCACCAGTTTCTATCAGCCCGCTCAGTAGCCCGGCCTGCTTTACCGCACCATGCCTGCCCCCCGCCCGCCCCCAGGGCTCTGGGTGGTGCTGCTCGAGCCCTGTCTGCGAGCTCTCACTATGCATCTCCATAGGGTGATGCGTGACACTTACCAGTTTCTCAGTATTAATGAATGAATAATCCCTTGGTCATTCTGTTCTATTCTGAGGATTACAATTTGCTTCTTTGCCATTAAACTAACACCTCCAGATGCATTTTTTCATTTGCTAAAAGGGGCCAATTTATTCCTCTTCCATTAGACTGAGAACAGCACCCTCTTCCCACGCCACTGCTGCCAGGTATCAATTCCGTGACTCCTGACTGAGGGATGTGTTCCTCCTTCTCTCCTAGTATGTCTGGAAATAAGACCTGGCCTTAGTCTTCCTGTATGTATTCCTCAGTCCTTTTCTTTTCCTTTCCATCCTATTCCAAAACTATCTCAGTTTGTAATAATTGTGCGTATCTGTGGTTACTTTTAACATGCGTGTCTGTGCTGAATGCGAGAGTGTTTCTTAAGGGCAAGAATTCTACCTGATTTTATTCACCTGATTTCCTTAGTGAGGTGCACGACAC